GATAGAGCTAACCTTGCTCTGAGCTAGGGTTAAATTAACCCTGATGAATCACGTAAGTTTAACCCTCCAGGGTTAGTTTAACCCTCACGGTTCGTTGATGAATACGGGTTAGTCGCTTTCGGGGTAAAATTAACCCTCAAGGTTAGATTTAACCCTCAGGGTTGAGCCTACCCTGTGTTTCATGAATACGGGTTAAACGCTTTCCAGGGTTAAACTAACCCTCCAGGGTTAGTTTAACCCTCGGGGTTCGTTGATGAATACGGCCACTGGATTCTCCATACATTCGAAATGAGGGAAAAATCATCTCGAGATACCTCGCCATCCACATTCCATTCACTTATTTTGGGTTTAAGTTGGTAAGCAACATTGGACGGAGTGGTATCGAGAAAAGTAGCAAGAACGGAAACAACGCAAATTTGTTGTGGATTCTACAATATGCCCTGACATTCAAAGTTGAAGTAAAAAGCTCATAAGCATTTGTATTCAGTGACATTTTGGTTGTAACTTTGCTCACCCTAGAAGGGGCGGCCATTCCATCTATCCTCCAGTTTCTGTCGAAAGACAACTTCTTCAAATGCTCGTTTCCTAGACAACGAACTTTTTTTTTGGTTTTCGATAGTAAAGGTCCTTCTTGTTTAATGTCAAATCTTTACTCAATGAACTACTCTGGAGAGAGTGCATAACAAACTGGTATTATAGCTGTAAGTCAGCAGGGGTTTGTTTTTGGAAGTTCAAAAACAGAAATTATTCTTAAATCAAATGCATTTGATTGGTAGAACTGTGCAGAAAGCAAACTTCCTCTCTAAAAGAAAACTAACGGCATGATTTTGAATCTCATCACGATAGCAAGAAAAAACAAAGGAAACTTTAGCTATTTATCTCCCAAATCTTTTTACAGCCCCTCATATATGCCACACATTAGAAATGCACAACTATTAGTGAATTCCTTACCGCATAATCAAGTCTAGCTCACATAAGCTCTAGCAGTTTCTGATACAATTCGCCTATCGACAGCACGCAGAGCTAGGGATTTGTTCCTCATCAATACCATCGGTACCTGAAATGACCTCATAATCACAAAAATCTACTATAATGAGTGAATAATGGCCAAGATGAGCGAATGAAACGAGAAAAGCAGCGAAATATTATAGCAATGCCGTATAGGACTCAGAAACGCCGTTATCGATTGGAGCGCGCTTTTTTCCTTAGGAAACGGGGCTGCTGAGACTATTTTTGCCTCTAGCAATGGGGAGAGGAGGAGGTTTGAAACCAAAATTTCAATATATACTAATGTTTAGGTGTAGAGTAGATTTATGTAAAAATTTTGAAAAAATTATGTGAACTGAGAATTTTGACAAGCTCAGCTTGTCATTAGCTTGTCAAATGACAAGTTAATTTGGAAATAAGTTGAGGAAACTCTTCATTCACATAAGTTTTTCATAATTTTTCATACTTTGTTACTTAGTCCTACTGCGCATATACACACCGAATCCAGCGCGATTTCGTCGCCTCTGCGTTGCAAACGAGCCATTTTTCCATTTCTTTGGTAGCGGGAAATTTTCAGAAAAAACTTTGCCACAACCTTCAGTCACATAATTTTTCAATGAAACTCCTAAGTTAGCTCCTACAGGCTTGTGACCACGTGCGTACCAAGTTTCATACCATATCGTCATCTGCGCGTTGCAAACGAGCCATTTGAATTTACTTCATTTACCAATTTTGCAAAATCTTTGGAAAAAATGCTTATTACTCGTCCCGTTCACGTAAGTTTTTCATAATTTTTCATACTTTGTTTCCATTAGCCTCTCTCCGTTCGCCTACAAAATCTGGTGTCATACCGTGACGCGTACATTGAGAACTACTCATGTATGCCGTTACAAATAGCTCGTTTGAGCGACGTCGCGCGTGCGGCAATTAGCGACGGCGCGGTTTGACGCGCGCGAACTCCAGTCTTCGCATGTTGAGGCACATAACATGTTAAAATAAGCAGAGAACGTGCACTACCAATTTTTTTCCGGGGCTCCGCCCCGGACCCCGCAAAAACGATTTCCCCTTTGCTTTTTTTGCCGAAAACGATTTCCAGCTTGTCATTTGACAAGCTCGTGCCGGGCCCTGTACAAAAAGAAAATGATGCAAGAAAAGATTGCAATTTGTGCTGGGATTACGATTGTAGCTAATTTATTATCTAAGATTTTGATCCTAATAGTCTTAATTCTTGAGTTAACAGTGTAGGATCAAACGGGTGTATGTCGAAAGGCGCGCGTTTCTGCAATCGTCTTTGCCAGAAGGGATTTGCACTTCACAAAAGCGAGGTTTCCAAACTCCTAAAGTTTTGTCATCATGAAATAGTAACAGAAGATTGCTAGTTGAATCCCGGAAGCACTAAACCGATTTCGAACTTTTTTCTTGGTTCTTCTGATTAGTGACATTCGATCATTACGCGCCATTCGACCGTCTCCCGGATCAAACTATGAAGAAAGGTAGGTTCAAATTAATATAAAATGAAGCCTGCTATCCTAAATAGATCTTGAGCACAATATCTTTTCCTCAAACTCCTATTTCCAAGCCCTTAGCGAATTAAAATGGTCCCTATGTTAAAGTTTCATTCAGTGAAATTCCAGTTGTTATAACAAGAATTGACAATGCATAAATCTTTCAACAGCAAGATGCTAATGCAGTAAGCTAATGCAGGGACCAGTTTTCGTCGATTTCAAATCTACTGTATCACCATTCTTTTCATCCGAAAAATTATACGTGTATAAAATCACATAACTGTGTTATCTAACGCATAAGTTACCTGCTCTTTTTGCCATTGTAAAACAAGATCTTATCATATGATGCAATGATAATTCTTAATTTCTCATTTGCTTCTCTCTTCTGAAATGTTTAGGATTTTGCGCTCATAATAATTGTTCCATGCACGGTCATGCAACTTTACTGGCTCGACTATTTCTGCACTTAACTGCTTTGAAACCATTATAGGTGATTGACAAGTACAAGAAGAAAGTTGCCCTTTTGTTCAAGAGAAAGGAAAAAACCAGTCGCAGAGTAGCCGGAAGCGATTAATCTGTGCAAATGTTATTAGCATCGCCAGTTTTTTTTTTGTACAGCCACTTGCAACGAATGGAAAGTGCGGAAACCAAGAACTTGTAAAGTAATCTATTATTGATAAGATTCGTACAGCAAGTACAAGTTCTGCTTGGCCCCTATTGATTGTTTGGAATATGCGATTCCAGGTGAAATTTAGGGCTGTAAAATCCGTCATAAACCGCTACACTGCGGAAATTTCTGCGCATATGGATGCTAAATCTGTTTTACAGTCCCAAACTTCCTTTCGAGTTGTCTGGGTGTTTAAAGGGGAGGGAAGAAGGGCAGGGGGAAGCTTGATCACATATCGGAAGCCTTCCCTTGCGAGAACTGGTCCTTATCGATTCTTTATCATTTCAACCGCTAAAATTTGCTACAGCGTTTGAGAAAGTTTCATAGGATCTATACCTCTTCTGGCTTTCTCTTTTTCATACATTACAAATTTCGCTATTTTTCTGAAGCTTCCAAATTCAAATGCCCTTTAGCACGCGAACAGGTCTTCAAGATCCTGCAAAAATTCCAGCTTGTCCCCAACATTCACCTTTTCTTCTTGGGTCATCTTGTGACTTCAAATTTCGCAATAGAATGGAAATTCTACGTACGTCACACTTTATTCAGTGAACAGTTTCCTTGTCATTGTTTTCTCTTTGCTGCACTATATGACATTGGTGAACTATTTCTTAGAAAGGTGCCACGCAAATTAGGGAGTGCTACCAGCAGTAAATTTCTCTTGACTCCCCCATATTTTTTCTTCTTTCCAGTACAGCCTCAAATCGGTCGATTATCTCGCAAAATAATTTTTCGTCGTAGAAATAAGCGAAAGAGTTTTTTCAAGACACGACAGTTTTGTTAAGACGTCTAAAAACTGGTTTCTATAATATCTTTATACTTTCTTTCAATTTTCGTAAATGATTTATTTTGGTCTGTCGATTTTTGGCAATTGAAAGTAGAATTGGCCAACAAATATCACAGTTACTGAACATTCTAATTGCTCTGCTTAGTCTTTTTCACAAAGGATAACATGACTGTTTTATAACACTGTGTTTTTGGCTCCTAATTGATAACGTCGTGGAGATCAATGTACTCTTCCAAATTGCTATCGATTAGTCCATTTGAGAAACATTTTGGAATTGGAAACTAGAGAAAACTTCTCCTTATGCAAGCACCATATTAATCAACACTTCTCCTCATTAAACTCGAAATAGCCTCAATGTTGATGATTTAGTGCTTTCTATGGCTGTCAAGCCGGTTTATCTGGCTAATCTAAACATTACAGTTGAGCTATAAAATGAGTTTCTGGACAGTCATTTGATGAGGGTGAAGTAGAGCAAATTTAAAGTTTAGGAAACATGCTAGGCGTGCTTCCATTTCTTCCCTGGATTCCTGTTCATCTGTGCGCCTAATATTCAAGTAGGACAATTGGAATATAATTTCTCATAATATACTAGAATTCTTTCTATCTGTATCGTTTTGGTAAAAAAAATGTACACAAATATGGGTCAATAAGTAGGACGGGAAGCTAATATTGTTGCTTCTATTATCAGTTCCTAATAATTATTGTTTATTATCTCTAGATTAGCTTACGGCATTTTTATTCTAGATTAGCCCCTTTGCTCATGACATTGAGGTTTTTCTTAAACTCACCTTGATTATGTCTTTGAGTAACATTCGACTTTTCTACCCTTTGATTCAACTGACTTGACGGCTGGAAGGAGGGGTTTTGTGACCTAATTGAGGCGGTTAGTGATCAGAGTCAGACAGCACGCGCGCGAGAAAGACGCAGACTGCATCACTGGCGCGAGCGCCTCAATTAGGTCACAAACCCCGCCTTCCAGCAGCCAAGACAGTTGAATCAAAAGTTACATTCCCTCGTGTTCCTAACTTTTGATTTAGTTGCATAAACTTAATTTCAGATCAATGCCGCCAGCCACATCGTTCTTCCCCGGATGCTGCTGTGCAAGGAATGTTAAGAAATCAAAACATGTAAGATTTACCAAGTTGCTAAAATGTTTAGTACTTCATGACTTTTTCTTTTCTGTTTTTCTGGTCACATATAATTTGAATGAGCGGAGTATGACTTTTATCCTCATATAAATCCTGCTTGAGCAGGATCTGCCTCTCTTGTCTCCATATCCTATATGAGACAAGGTCTTCATCTAATCCAAATTCTTGCCGATCAGCCATGATTCTGTCCATCCACCTCATCTTATTGTTAGGCTTATCTCTGAGGCTTTTGCCAGGTGTCTTCACCGTTAAGCCGTGATGTGGCTTTCTTCCCTTTCGCGCAGGTCCATACCATAGTAACCTCTTTTGCTGCATTTCCTAACGATTAGAGCTACTTTATTTGGGTCGTAAAGTGTCATTGTAGATCTGGTTTTTCAGTGTGACCCCTAAGGTCCATCATAGCATCTTATCTTATACCAATGACACTGAGCTTGCCCTCTTCGTTCCGCGTATATGGCCACTCACTGCCATATAGAGCCGCTCGACAGATAACGGTCCGGTACAGAGATTGAGTTGCACTAACATTCTTGTGTCGCAGATAACTCCCGTTCAGGGCTCTCCATTCCAATCACGCTGTTCATTTTATAGGGCTTATCAAACTGAGTGTCGTTTGCACCGGCATCTCCATCTTCGCGCTGGACTCTGCGTCTCTTCCGCAGGGCTGCTCTCTGAGCACTTTCCCAGGGCGAGCGTGGGAAAGGCGAAGCATCAATCGATTGGAAGTGATTAGGGAGCATGTACCGCAGAAGAGACGCAGAGCCCAGCGCGAATATGGAGATGCTGGTGCAAACGACACTCAATTTGATAAGCCCTATACGTGCAACCCTCTTTTGGACCTCTTTCCGCTTAGACATGACGCCTAGAAACTTGTGTGGGGATGTCTTATTTAGCTCTTTACTATCAATGTTTATGGTAGCTGGGAGTTTCTCCATTTTCACAGTTCTGTCTTCATGGTGTTGAGCTTCCAGCCATACAGCTCTAGCCCGTTTTTCCGAACTTTGGTGTACTCTAACAATTCGGAACTCTTTCGTTGCCCTGTAGCTGTTTATACGTAAGTTGAAGCCTTGTGGTAGATCAACTTTATTCGCTGAGCGTACTCATCTGGCACCATGCGTTTCCATAAAGCCCACCGTTTAACTTCATGGGGCACCTTATCGAAGGCAAGCTTTTCCCAGGTCCAGGGAGGGTGCATACTATTGCTTCTGCTTCTCTTTATAATTTTCTTGTTATCCAAGCGAAGTGGATGGCGTCAGTTGTAGTCTCTTACCCGAATTCGCTGTGATTCTGTGACAACTTCCCGGTATCTCGAAGCCGATTAATTCGATTGTTTGCTCGAAGAGTGTGGCTCACCACCAGCTGGGGTATAACTGAAAGGAGATGTTCAGTTTTCTTTCTTTCATATTGTTTTGACTCTCTACGTTTGTTCCACTTCAGTCTTTCAAGTATGGAAGAGCTATAAGGGCGATGTACAAAACTATTCTTACTGGACCCTTCTAAACAGCAACAGCACCAGCAGCAACTCGTTAGAACTTTCGTATCCAGCCATGGATAAAAAGATCATTTGCCATTGAGCAACTCTCCTCACTGGAATGACATTCCATGACATCCTACAAATTGTAAGGAGAGTTGCTTAGTTGTTGAAACTTCGTGAATGACTTTGATCTACGCAGACAAAAAATTCAGTTCTCACTCATAGACACAGCAATTTGCAAGGTAATGCAAAGTCTTTGATACTACAGGAACGAGCAGAAACTCAGTGATAGTAGGAGGAAACAAAACTTTTAGAATGCAGAAACTTTGAGTGAACTGGAAGAAGAACAGAACATTGGAACTGCAGTGAGCAGCAGTGTATTGAAGTCTGGTACTATCCCCACAGTGAAGAGATTGGATTTCGAAAGCGATTTGATTGAAACTTTTAATTCCAGCAAACCTCCTTTAGTTTCAGAGGTTAAACATCAGAAATCTAGAAAACTCAGTTCTGATCTTCCCGTTAAATCCTCAGGAACCTAAACTTTGAAAATAAGAGTTTATTGCGTTTCTGAGTATAAATGAGCTGGACATACATTAACTAGTTTTGCTTGGCCTTCAAGAAAATATTAGATCGTTTCATAAGTTCGTCGACTTTTTATTTTTGTCGCCGTTTTTCGATGAAGCGGTTGGTTTACGGCAAAGTACCTATACCATTGAAAAGAGAAAATCTTGCTCTACAAGAAGTGTTGTTCGCTTTTGGAGCAAATTTGAATCCCCCTTCTTTTACGACTTATCAAAGCAAAATTTTTGAGAGGCAAAAATTGGCGATTTCGGCAACTGCACTTCCCGCATTTGATCCGTATTCCGCAAGATGTTCCTGTGATAGGTAGGCGGATGGATAGTAGCACAAATTTGCATCATGCCAATATGCATAGAACCGTTTGAACAAGGTCCCAATAGTTGTCTTTGACTGCTGCCGCTTGATTTTGGCGCGTTGTTCAGCGACACAATGTGTCGGTCCTCCTATCGGAACTTAAGGAATGGATGCGTTCTTCGAAGTGTGTAGGTGTATGATTACAAACTCTGGCCAACATTTTACGCTTTTCAAAAAAATTTTTGACGTGGAAACTTCTTCAAATTGTGCCAAACGCAAAACATCTACACACATGGTAAACGTGCGCTTAATCCTTCTTTATAGCGTCTCTTTGGATATGGAGACTACTTTTATATGCACCGTAGTACCACAAACAGTTGTTTCTCATTACTCATAACAACTTCAGATGAAAAATTTCCACTTGTGGCTCCGTATACGGATCGAAAGTTGCAAGTGCCGAAATCGCCAGTTTTTGCCTCTTAAAAAATTTTGCTTTGGAAGTCGTAAAAAAAGGGGATTCAAGTTTGCTCCAAAAACGAACAGCAGTTCTTGTAGAGCAAGATTTTCTCTTTTCAATGGTAGTAAAGGTATTTTGCCGTAAACCAACCGCTTCATCGAAAAACGGCGACAAAAATAAAAAGTCGACGAACTTACGAAACGACCTAATACAAATGTCGTAAGCCACCACACTACACATTCTCCCTGCCACTCGGTGCAAACCTAAGAGCAACCAAGTTTATGTGCCCATACCATTTTACTCTCCACTCCCGTCTAAGCTTGATTCTGGCGGCTTTCTTCTGGAAGCGGAAATATCATATTTTCGTCGTTTTCGCGAGGTTAGAAAATCGCATTCGTTTTCTACCGCGACTGAAATGCCTAGGATCTGCAAGTCGAGGAACACTAGGCGGAACGCCGCCTTTTCTGTGAATCTGTATATTGGCCTGCACCTGCATCCTGCAATGTTACAATGTTCTGTAGATGGGAATGGAAGGCCTCCTGTAAGCCGGAAGAAAAGCCATGCCTCCGATTTAGCCGTACAATGCTTTCAATAGTAACTTCCTTTGCAGAATTCTTACACCTTGGGCAACACAAAACACGAATGCAATGTAAAAAAAACATAAGCAGCAAAGCCACAAGAGAGGACCGCTCACAAGGCCAATCTAGTTTTTTATCCTTGCTGATTTTCCTTTCGAGTTTAGCAAAAGTACAGTTAAATAATAGTAAAAGTTAGCTATTGATCTAGAGCATGTAACATTTGAAAATATTGTTTAGAAACAAAAAACGGATGAGAACGCTGTGGCCATAAAGCAAAGCAAACACCATCTAGTGATTCCCAAGGTGGCATTGAATGGCAAAATCATCACCTCCGGCAGCAAACGTCGCTCAAATACAGCACCTGAGCATACCGCTATAGAGATACCTGAGGAATTCGTCACGGCAAGGACGTCTCGAGAACTAAACAAGTAAGCGTCCTTAGAATCAGTATTTTTTCTACGCTCAAAAAACACAGAAATCTTGGATAATAGACCTATTTAGCTTTTGGGAACGGTTTTGCAGCAACCAGCACCTCTCCATGAAAGAGCTTATGCGAACGGTGCGAATTGAGGAGGGTCTACATGTGACTCCACGTGATGGACATCAACAAGGACCATCCACATCGACGCGACCGATCATTGTAGATAAAACTGCGAAACCAGTTGTTCCTGAGAAACCTCAGATGCTTGGTTAGTTTTGCAAACAACACCGCACCACTTCCACAGCACTGAGAATAATAATGCAAAGGTGAATAGGATAGACGCACCAAATATCAGCAACCTAAAATTATCAGCGTTTGCAAGCAAGTTTTCACGCACTGGCAGCTTCCAGAGCTTGTCCCATCAAATCTGGAAACGCTATATGGGGACCTGATGCTGTCGAGTACAGATCTTGCATGTATGCAGCCAAGAAGAGCTTGTCAATGTTGTCTAACCCCTTTGATACGGCTACAACAGAGAATTGCCGAATGTTTCATCTGTGATTCTAGGGAAAAACGACGAAAAAGGATGAGACGGCGTGAGTTTTGACGAAAATGCTCAACTTTTGTCAAAAACAAATTATGCCTGAAGTTTGCCGCCAGAGACGTTTTGATAGACAAGTACAAATACGCCACCTGCGCTAAAGAATAACTTTCCCAAAAGTTTAACCTCCAAGAGCATTGAAAGGAGCCGCTACTGTTTTACACCCTTGTAGGAAGGCAATCTTGTACGCGAAGGATTCATTAATTTATGTCCTTAAGAAGAATTAAGAAAACTTTCAACACTATATCTTCATCCTAATCTACTCCAAGACTTCAAACCGGGTGCCACATCACAACTTTTTTCCAGCCCCTTAGGTAGCGCTGTATCAAAATTTTTTGATAAATGAACTAAATCAGAGACAAACACGAAGAAGAGAAAGGCGTCGAGCAGCCTTAAGGCCAGCTTTTGCTGCAAAATTGCAAAAAAAAAATCAAATATTGTGTTGATGACTTATGCATCATTCACCTCGACAACTCCTGAGCTTGTAAGATATACTTACGCTCACATCTTTGTTTAGATCGTCTCAGTACAAATGCTTTTCGATGGTCAATGTTGAATATTAGCTATTGATATTTGCGATTTCGCCTCATCTCGCTCGCGCAGAGTGTCGATGATTTACTTATCCTCAACCTTATCTTGACATCTCTGTAACCTTGATAGCCTATGGTTATCACCAAAGATTGCGCCAACCATCCATTCTTATGTACCGAGTCACTAACTAATGAGTGGCAATCTATCGAAGGCTGCGCGCCGAGACGTCCTTTTTCATTTGCGTATACCTCTCATGCAGTTTGGTTCTGCCCGGGTCAGTGCCCCTTACTATGTATATAAAGAGCCCACAACTGTATTAGGGGCTGTGTCTCCCCTGTTTCTTTGCAAAAATAGTTTACCTCTACTCTCTCCACTACGAGACTTTTGGTTCCCACCAGTAGTCAGTGGTAATCTTTGACGAGACACTAAAGCAGCTGCGATGCTGACCTCTAATGAGCAAACGTACTGTGTGGTTTGAACGCTTGCTAACTGCTAAGGTGGCTTAAAACTTGACCATATTAGACTTGGGCTAAAGTCCTTGAGTAAAGAGTTCCTGGTACTTTACTTTTTTTGCAAAATGAGCATTGTAAGTCGAGCTACCTTCTTTTCAAAACTCAAAGTATTAATGTCTAGCCCTTGATAATCGCGTGAGATCAGTGAGATTGATTGGAAATTTGCACGCACACAATTTTGGTCCGCTTTCTGGATCGCCTAAGAAAAGGATACACAGAAAGTTTCACTCTCTTTTGTGTCATAGGCTGCAGCCACAAGATTTGTTCCACACTGCTTAAGTTTTGCTGTGATTATATGTTACTACTTGACCAATCATTCATCCTCTGGTTCGCTTACGAAGAGAATGAGCAGAAAGTTACCAAGTGGCTGTGGTTGAGTAATAATACTGATTTTTTTCTCTCTCTGCATTGCTTGCGAAAAGCACTGAAAGTGTTAAAGAAAAAGTATACGCTGATTTCTTCTACACTTTCGTGGAATGCTCTTAGAAGGATACGCAGAATGTTTCAAATAATTAGACATGGTTGTCCTTCCTTCTATGCGGGTCTTTGGTTCGATTGTTGGAATGCGCGTTGGTTTCTCTGGCTGATGCACCAAATTGATGGGAACCAAGTGTCTAGAGTGAGATCATTGGGGGTGAAATATCTATTTTGATGAACCTATTTTGAAGTGAAGAGGGCAACCTCTAATACAATTGTGGGCTCCTCATATGTGTAGTGAGGCGGAGCTGACCGTGCACAATTAAACTGCACGAGAGATATACACGAATGAAAGAGGATGCCGCGGCTTGGCGGGACCCTTGGTGCATAGATGCCGGTGGGAGGACATTAGTCGCCGAAAGGGAAGCTCCCGCGCGGACGTTTACGACAAGCCACGGGTCTCCACCATTATGCCTCATGCTAGCTGTCCACGTGGACAGCTAGCATGAAGCATAATGGTGGAGACCCGTGGCTTGTCGTTATTCGACGTTTATTGGCAACCTAATGTCATCCACCCGATGCCACTCATTAGTGAGTAATTCAGTATTGAGAATGAATGGTTGGTATAGCCTCTGAGGAAACAACCATATGTTAACAGGGTCACAGAGGTGTCAAGTCTGATGATGGATACGTCGTTTGATAACAAGTAAATTTTGATGAAAGGTAGTATGGAACAGATTACAGAAATAAGCTAGGCTCAGCTCTCTGCACGTCTACATCATTCTTTTTCAAAGGGGTTCATTACAAACAGTCCTAATAACCACATCAAATCTTCAAATGATTAGTGCTGGAATGTATATGCACCTCTAAGTGGTCTCCATTGACGAGGGTTAGTAGATTTCTTGCCACGATTGGGCTAATGGTATTTTGAGAATATATGCAGGGATTTTTTGCGGCGTTGCTAGATCTGCCGCTCCTTAACTTCTCGTGGAAGGATTATTTGATGGATCACTCGTAGTGACTCCCACATTAGTTTTCTTCTCTCCTATCCTTCGTAGAAAGCCATAGTGAGAAGTTATTCGACGTTTATAAACGTTTATAAAAACAAAATTACACACATTCCATATGGAAGAAATCGAAGTTTGCTGAATCAAGTACACTAAGCGTATAACCTCCTCTATTTATAGTGCTCAGACTGTTAAATAGCGTCATCTTGATTGAGACTTGATCAACAGGTATTTCACAGATCAAGGTTGATAAACAACCGAAAATATACAAAAACCAAACTCAAGACCCATTCCACAGCGAATTTTCAATTTAGAGATCTTATGGAGGTCATGCAGCCTTAGGGCTGAGCCATTGCCGTTCTTGAAGATGTACCGCTTTCATTTCTCTTTTTTGCTATAATATTGTACTGTGAACAAACCATTGAGCAAGATTCTATGTTCGCGATAAGATTCAATCTAAAACGATAGCTAGTTAGCTAAAAGTGAGTTTTATACAGCGGCATTCAAAACTGAAGGAAAAGTGTTTTGGAAGATGTACGAGAGTAGTTAGAGTGAACATCGTCCCCTCACAAGAGTAGTCCCGTAATTAAGTGTCAAATTTGTATAGTATCAACATATGTTCAGTCCGCTTATTACTTGGAACTGCAGATTGCAGATGCCCAGCAATTGGCTCAAAGGGCGGAACGAGAGAAAGCTAAGAAGGCTGTTTTCGACGCTGAAGGTGACATCACTTCGCGAAGCATCAGCCAGAGTCCAGCACCTGAGTAAGAGCTATTGAACTTCCCAAACGAGTCCTTCTTAACAAGCACATTATAGCAAGCGCTCATTATGCTCTGTTGCGACAATTTCCGGGGATATGCATCTCACCCTACCTCAACCAGCACCGCCACCACAACCACGATCCAATTATGTTACATATGTGCCACAAATGCTACTAGCTGTGATCACAATCTCATTTGCTTGGTTAGCCAATCTCATCAATTATATGTATAGATAATTCCACCTTCATGATATGTGTCATGTATGCGCTGTAACATATGACTAAACCATTTCTTTCAATATGTAACATTGCCTCTGGAACTCGGAAGTGCGTGTGACATAATTGTCAAAGATGAAAAAGAGATTCAAAACGGCTTTGTACTTATAACCTCTTTATTATTTGCCCATACGGTCAGTGCTTGCTAATTTACTGTGCCAATAAATATGAAGATATCTGAATTGGATAAATAATCCTTGCAATGGAACATACTTTGTACACTCTTGAATATACCATTATTTTTCAATTTTCTCTCTTCCTCGCTCCTCGACTCTGCAAATTCGCTTGTAAAATGCAAGACCTTTTCCACTTCATAAGCTCTCTTACTATTGCGATTGTATTACCCACTTCCAAAGCAAAAATAATTATTTTTTTTAACTAACAGAGCCTGTAGTTAATGGTCTCTCTCACAAGAACGAAGACTTCGCCATAGGAAAGCAAAAGCTAAAACACTGACTCTTAAAATAACATAAAGATAACGAAAAGTCTATAAGCAGTAAACCGCTACAATGTTAGACCCGAGAAGGATGGATTGTCCAATTGTCAGTGGGCTTGGTACGCTGATGAGCGTAATGATGCATAATATATATTTTGTTGAAAAATAAGCGAATTTCAAATAAGCTAGGACTTCTAGGCTATTTTCACTCGCTGCAACTTAGTAGGCCAAGCAACCCTCGCGAATCGGGTCTGAGCTCGCAGCACTAATTCTAGATTCCACTTGAAGTCCAGTCTGCAGTTCTGACGTCGCACGACTCCGTCACACTTTCATCCGATATTCGACTAGATTTTTTGTAAATAGTCTTGGATTAACCTACAACTTTTCATGAGGCAGCAGACAAGCCGCGCTGCCCTGCTGACGATGGCCAAGATCAAGTCTTCATTTTGTACTAAGATCCCAGAAACTCAATTGCCAAGCCTTCTCAAAAATGCAGCTCCTCTTCACTGCCACTCAGGGCTCGGCACGAGGTAATTTGTGCAAGATTTCACGACTTTCCCTTTGATTCCAAACCCTAAATGCGAAAAATTTTCAAAAACGGAACGTCGACAAAAAAAAACGTTATCGGCCACAAAACGATATCCTTTTTCTTTTTGCCCCAAAAACGATTATTGCGAGTACTAAAGACTCTTGGGCGGTTTTGCCCGTAACGAGAATACAAGTACAAAAGACGGTGGTTCAAGATTTATTAATAAGACTTAACAAGAGTACAGCGAGTACGAGAGCAGGATGACGATACGTTTCTATTCCACGATAAATATGCAAGTGAGAAGAGGGGAGTAAGGTTCGGCCATGCCTATCTCGGCGTGACCTAAGGTCGCGGCGGGGCATCATCATCGGCACGATGATAACGATATCCAGCTTGCTTATAAGCCACTTGTGCCAAACCCTGCCCCCGCTGTTGTTCTGTAACTGACCAACGACAAGCACAATCTCAAGCTTGCCCATTGTTCAATTGCCAACACACCAGTTGCTTTTGTGAGAGATCTATGTTATTCTGACATGTACACACTCTGTTTGGCGACGTGCAGGATAGGTCCAGTCCGAGTACAGTAGCGCTACCTCTGACTGATAAAAATAATGTCATATCATCTTATTGTTTTCAAATTCAGCAAGTTCATCATGATTCGTGCCTAAAGCGAAAGCACGAAAAAAGCAAACTCCAGTTTTTTTAGACACTGCCATGATTAGGAAGTACTTTTTTCTTTGCGAAGGTTCTTTTGAATGCCTCTTCTTCTTTCAAGTACATTACGAGCGTTGGGAACGTTCAGACAGGGGTATTAGGATGGACATGGTAGAAAGTGAAACGGTGCTTTTCCATATACCTTCATTTCTTACATGAAGTTTATTATGCGATCATAACTTCGCCCTTTACACATCTTTCTTCCCTGACAGTAATGCATCAATGGACGTTGTGTCATCCAGGTTTTCTGATATGCCTTTATTTCAAAGTGTCGAGTCAAGATGAACGTAGATGTATGGGATAGGCAATGCCAAGAGCCTCCTTATACTAGTCTAGACCTCATCTGAGGCCAGCAGCGTGAAAACATCGTAAGTGAAACAGTAAGAAACGTTACTAAGTGTCAGCATGTAAGGCAAAAATCACTGTTAATTGACAGATATTATCTATCATAAATATTTTAGCTTTATCAAGAATCTTCCTTGAGCAAGTTTCAATCTCATTTGATTGAAGGTACATTTGATCCAGAATCATTCCCACATGTACCTCAGCTTTGTGTCGTCCCAACGGCGCTGTTCGGATCCCACTTCGACCTTCTACCGTCAACATTTCGTTTCTCTATGTAGCAGTCTTGGCAGTCCAAATACTCTATTAGTACACCACATTCCATAGAAAAACGATGCATTACTCTAAAACGCATTGGTAATCGTAAATCTAACACTAACAAAGTATTTCTCAATGATATCAGAGTAACGACTAGTGTCACACCATTCCGCAGTTTAGCTCGGTAAAGCGTCGCCTTACTGTGGCGCCTCAAATCTGATATGAACGGATTGAGCTAGGATCTACTGTCGCTTTGCTTCGGGTGTGGACAACGGAACTGCAGAAGCTTTGCATCTAATTCTCAATTACTGTCCGTCACTCTGCGCACCTTATGTGTGTTTTCCACTGTTCAAACCGCTCCTGTTGTTTTTTATGAAGACGATCGTAGCGCGCCTGTCTACGCTGACACTATGGTCACCTTCATAAAGTCTAGGGTCTGTATAAATAAAGCTAAGTGTCTCTTTAAATGTGTGCATGTGTGTATATGTCTGTACGTGTGTCATAGAAATTTCTATTTCTGGATCGATCTGGACCAAACTTTACACTCATACACTTCGGGACGGGGTGGAAGGGCCAGGCGAAGCCGAGTTTGCCAACCAGTACCTAATATAAAGTAGACCTACAGCATTTTGATGTCTGCGTTTTTGGAACCATAGTTCACTTGTTGCAATTTTCTTACACCCAAGGATTTTGCAGAACACGGAAGCGCAACCTGTACCCAAAATCGTTTGGCTAGTTATGCCCACAAAGCCAGCTACATTTATTGCGGCAACTCGGTGGGTTCATGACACCTAGAGTGGCTGATGCTCGCCCGACACTAGGCGCCGAACAGCCTACTGTGCACCTAACGCGCGACCGAAAGAAACATGAAATAGATTAAGCTATTTATCCTAATGACATCAAACTACAATTGAAATAAAGATACGCTAAATTAAAACAAGTTAGCACTACTTGAATAAAACACGGACGAGGGACCCCCCACGCTACCGATGCGCGTCTGTGGAAGTACTCTAGAATATGTGTACCTCGCAAAGGTTCGTGCAACGAATCCACCGCGCAGCGCCCAGGTTGTAGACGTCGGCACGTTCCCTCCAGCTCCTGCAGATGACTTCCAACCTGACATGCAATTTCGATCAGCACTACGACGCGTCGAATTGCAACGAGCCAGTGAAGGAGGGGTCCGGACACGATCGCGGCAACACGCGTCTCGGCCACCGTAATCGTCGCCGGATAGCGCGGTAACCGATGCCCCCCGCCTCCGTGCTTCGAGGAGCGCCTTGCAACGAGACGCGATGTTTATCTAATCCTTTTCGCACTTCTTGCAAATTTTACAGAACTCTTACTCAACGGGCATCTTATCGTTAGCGTTGTAGTTATCTGATTATGAGTAATCTTTTCCTCCGCTAGACGAGACGCTTATTTTCAACGGGTAGTCACGCCTGAGCTCAGTTGAATGGCAGTGTAGAACACTGTCACACAGGCCCTGATGTGATGTCAATAAGCGATAAACATATTAGCAGTGACACACTTCGAACGACTTACTTCAGTCGTCATAAAAAACTGAACATCGTCTTTTCTTCCCTTCAACGCTTGACTATGCTTATGATTTATCTTAAGATAATAGTAGTGTAAACTTTGACAGAAATCATTAATGATCAACATTATGCACAAACAAACCAACAAACAACAACTCGAAGAGCTTTTTAGCGACAAGGGCACTTAGTGAAGAATGTGAGATGTGAGAAAGATACATGTTTACCAAGATAACCCTAAGCGTCGAATTTTTCCGATTTAAAGACTAGTGCAAGCAATGTGAGGTGAGTATATGTAATCATAAACCCGGTTTGATAGTTCCGGTTTTCTACCCTTACCTAAAACACACTGGGGTAAATTTGATATTTAGAAGTTTAGTAAAGCTTGTATCACAGCTGGAGACCATAAGATATACAATAAATCTATACAATAAATTATAGATCAATTTCAAGGGGGAGGGGTCAAAGCGGCTGAGCAGCGTCACGTCTCCGTCGGACATGATGTGAAGGGCTGGTTTCTTCGCTCGTCAGGCTTCGTTTCCGTCCTCGCATCATCTCGGCCAGGGCTCCGATCTCTCGAGAGATGTCGGATAGCTGATGTTCGATAGCGGTGATTCGAAGCGACAGACCTTCCTGAGTTGAGTGCACGTCTTGGATCAACTCGTACGTGTTTGATGAAGTCTGAAAGATGATTTTTAAAGACTAAAATAATTTTGTGGAGTTACTTTGCCTTGATGACGAATAAATAGTTAAGGGACTGAAAATTCATTTGCTTACCTTAGCCACGTCTCCTAGCGAGACAAAATTCTCAGCTAACTTCCGCTGATCCCGCTTTATTTTCCTCATCCTAAAATAGATCTTTCAGTAAAAATGACGAAGCTAGGTAAAAAATGTGCAGATCAAATCGAAATTGTAAAATTTGAAAATTCTACCATAGCTTAAGAATGAGGCGGTATTTTACAAGGTCTTGAAGGCACCTCCAGGTCAACTTGGGTACATGGTTTTCTTGTGTGAATAATGTTCGAGAGGTCTTTACTAAACCACCGTTCAAACGGCAGCCCACAAGCCATTCGACAAAAATTGAACTCTAAACTCTAGACCAGATCGTACTTTCTATCGCATCAAGACGCTGAATGGTTTGCTTCCTAGATACGGTCTGGGCTAAAGTTTGAATTTGATTGTTCCGCCCGTGATCAAAATATTCGGGCTTTTGATTGGACAACGATTAGCTGGTGCTTTCCAAGAAATTTCCATGCAAGAAGGGTCCCCAGAGTTGTTTGATACTGCTTTCAATGCTATACTTACTCATAAATAGCCACAAGAAATTTCCTCTGATGTTGTCGAATGCGAGCGTAGTCAATTTTTTCCACCTTCTTTCTGAATTTGTAGATCAGCCAAGTTTCCCTCAGTACATTCGCTGCCGAGTGCTTTAGCTGGAAAAAAAATCACTCATAGAGAAATTTCCAGAAAACTGATATTCTGGTGATTTACCTGTTTTGTAAGCTGCGTATCCATCATAAAATTATGGACATGCTTTTCAGCTCTGGTCAGCTCTAGCTTCCTCGCCACCACAGCTACGACCATCGATGAGGCGCAGGTTCCCTGAAGATGGACGAGTTTTTCCGTGACAATCCTTTGTAAAAGGTAACTGAACTTACCAAGATTCCAGTAATTACAGCCATTGTTCGCCCACAATTTGTATGAGGTACGATGTCACCTAAAATACGCAATTATACCACTGAATTCGAAAGTTCTGAGGAGATGCTTACCGTAACCGACGGAAAGGAAAGTGATAGCTACAACCCAGATAGATGATACATAATCCATGTGATTTCGTTGGTGCAGGGTCGCATAGTCCCTACAAAAAACCATTTGATCTATCATGTTGAGTTATTTTGCCCGACTCAAAACTATAAACTATACATACATAGACTATAAACTCATTACGCCTAACATGGTGTTCGCAAAAATGTTGAAAGAAGAGGATTTGCGGCGCTAACAAGGTCTCGAAAAACCCAGAGAAGTTTTTACATTTTTTACAAGCTTGTCCAGGGAAAATAAGAGTCTTACGTGGCCGCAATTCAAGGACCTCTTTTTGTTATCTAAAAATGAAAACGAGTTTCAAGACTCATTGATCTTTAAAGATTTTGCGACCTTTTTGCGATTTTCACCCTCTTCCTCCTCCTGTGTTAAACACTATTGTTTGATTAAGTTACCTTTCACATAGACGTAAAATCCACCCAGAGACTATCCATAGAAATGCCGTAAATAGCATAAGCATCTTGCCTAAATCGAAATTCAACTGAGAAAAATTTGAAATGTTGCCAAAATAATTTGTACCTGGACATAGTGTCATCAGCGTCTTCAGAATGAAACGAGCATTGAAATTTACTCGATTCAATCCAGCTATACTTCTACTGCTCGCATCCGTGAATAATCTAAATAGCTGAATTAAGGTGAGCCTATATATAAGGTTGGTAAACTCTTACCTCGAATGAAGTAGCATCACTCTACATAGCCAATATAACCGAAAGAACATAGCAATGGATACGAAGACATTAAAAGTGTGTAATGTCTGAAAATGGGACACTAGAAATTTCACCTGAATTCGTGATAAGTCTCAAACTAACCCTGGATGTCAATTTGCCTCGACCCCATTCGCCAAGTTCTAGCGGTAAAGGACAAAGCGAACAGATGAACATTTCTGCTCCTGTAAAAGAGTGATAAATGTGGTTCAAAAAGAAAATCCCACGCATTTCTCACATATTCCGAGGGGACCTTGTCCTTATCATCCCAGTCTATACAGTCTTTTGGTGAATGTACGCTACCGTACCCAGTTGCATTCTATTTTGTGAAATTTGTATCGAATAATATTAATAGTATTAAGCATAGTGCAGGGAGCGATGTTTGATGCCTCTGGGTCGTAAAGAAAGCATGTGGAAAGGAGAGACGCAGACACGCAGACAAGTGTTCTGCGCCCGTTGCGTAATGTATGTGTGTGTGTGTGTCCATACTATAAACGCAGCATAAGAGAGTTGAATTTCAGCTAAGGATGCTCCCTCAAAGAGAAACTAAGCGATGATTGGATTTTTCGTCAAAAGCTTTTCCACAAGTGGTTCGAAATCATCTCATCCACAAAAAATATTTCAGATTTTTTTTCAAATCAAAAATGACAATGTAGCCTGCCCCTATCAATTTCAGCCCAACAGCATCAAAGGCTTAGGAATAGATGGGAAGGCCAATTACATAGCTATGGGATTCCCATTTATCTACATACCAGTCCAATGGCGCATATTGAACGCTCCTATTTCCGGAATATCTAAAGCTGGAAAATTCAATAAATGTTTCTTACCTATTTGCATCATTCTTCGAGTTGTTAACGCTACTCGCCAATCATCAGCTGCATTGGCATTCATAAACAACTAAAAAAATCTCAACTTTTTAGGAAACAAGAACTTCTGAGATCAAACACCATCTAAAAAAAACCTCACCTGCACTTCTATGATATGAAAATAGGCTACGAAAACAACGAGGACAATTGTGGACCCGACAATCAGTGATTTCAGACAGAGACTAAAGAAAGAACCCTGAAATAGACAGATGTTGAGAGTGCAATGTGCAAACAATGAATATCGATTGTCTGGAAGAAAACATACCGTAGGAACCAGACCAGCTGCGCTCAGCTCGTTTTCGAGGATCATAAGCACTAAAAAGGTTTAATTGGTTGATTGAATTTTAGGCAGGAAAAATTTTTAGAAACACCACATACCGATTCCGAGAACAGCGAAAAACAATGCTCTATCGCTCATATATCGCCGTTTATCATGTAGAATTTCTCGTTTAATTAATCGACCCCCGCTGAAAATTCCAAAATTTACGCGATATTGCACAATTTACGGGGTTCAGATCTTACCTTGCGGCATCCTCTTTTTCTTCCATAAGGGGAGTTTCTGAGTCATCAAGGACTTTTTGAGCTTCGAGATCATTCGAATACGCTACCGAAACAGATTTTCGCGATACGGCATCGCCTGAAGTAGTAATATTTTTAAATTTTTTGCTATTTTGAAAGAGAGGCCTAAAATGTCTCTATTATAAATTTTTCTTTTAAAGTTGATACCATTTCAGGTCACTTTATTTTTGGAAACGTGGACAACCATCCGCTCCTTCCAATCAACCAATAAGAGAAGAGCAAATACCGTAACCACAACACAAAACCGTACCGCTTTTGTCAGTGCTGATCCAACTCAACCCCTGTGGGCCGAGAATTTTTCGCAACAGTGCTTGGTCCCTACTTGGAAAATGAGCGACGCTGACACGACGACAGTACTCCCTAGGGGGAGAAATATTGAATATTGATTCAGAATTTGATCTCTGCTGGAGAGTTGCCAGTCGATAACGAGCTGGTTCTTTCCGGTTCTTTGACAGTCTCGCCGGTCTTTCGAACATGTGGTAGGAGCCTGAGCAGGACACACAGCTGGACTTTGCAGAAGGAGCAGGCGAGACGGGCAGGTCGAAAGAGAGCTGCTTGGGAGTGGAAGTTAGTCGCGGGGCACGAAGAATACCTTTCGGTTGCAGTTCAGGTGTGCCAAGACCAGATCCGGGTTTGGACAGCGCGCCGTTCCTGTTGGCATCGTGGTCCCAACCGGACAATTCGGAGTGATTCGATATAGACAACTGTAGATCCAGCGGTGCTTGACGTACAGCGGCTGCACCCTGAACCACGAGGCAATTCGCCTTGGGCGGGGTCGGGTGCGGGTCCACGTCGAGCAGCGGGTGCGACATCTCGTCCACGTCGATGCTGTTAATTCTCTCTTCATAAAGCGGTTCTTCGTTGATGAACGCTAATCCGCTGTTCGATGAACATGACTCAGCTACTATAGGATTCATCGTCGTGTCGCTAGCATAATTCCAGACCTTTACTGGTGGAATGTTCTGGAAAGGCGGGAAATGTAGGCGCGAGAAAAGTATAGGTGCTATTGCAAGGGACACAATCGAAAGCACTGTACATTGAAAGAGAATGATCGAGTTCTTGATTAGATGAATGAATGAATGAACGAAATGAAATGTAGAAAGAATGAAAGAATGAATGAGTGATGAATGAATGAAATGAAGTAAAAAAGAAATGAAGAAAGAATGAAAGAAAGAAAGAATGAATAAGTGAATGAGTGATGAATGAATGAATGAATGAATAAATGAATGAATGAATGAATGAATGAATGCTCAGAACGCTAAGTCTGACTGGCTTTAAAATTTTTCGAAAGGTTTTTGACCTTCTTACTCGAAAAAAAAAAACTAAAAAGTGTTGATAGCGAGAGATGCTACGATCAAGAACCTCTAGCTCCAGGCTTGAAAGGATACTGTAAGAATACTGTACGGGTCGGGCATACTTCACGCGATTTGACAATATTCCAATTATCCATAACTCACCGTAAGCACATTTGAAATGTACAGAAGATAGGGCATTTTACCGATCCACGTAAGTTATACGCACTTGCATATGCAGTTTGCTAATGTTGGGTCTGGAGACTTTTGGCGAAATGCCAAATCGCGTCGCGTTGAAATCGCGTGAACTATGAGCGGCCCTTTAGTGTCGCAGACTCGCAGAAAAGACTGTAAAAAAAGGCTTGTATGATCCTACAGCAAGACAGTGAGAAAACACATTTCTGGGAAAAAACATGGATCGCTCTAGCTACAGATGTAAGGTTTCCTTGAGCACAAAATGTGTCTTTTTGCAGTCAATAAGGGTAAATAAGGGATTAGAAAGGTTTCTTAAGAGTAGTCATTTGATGCTATGGCTTCAGAGCTTAGGAGTAACTGGCTGACGACCAAAGTTTTACGAATGATCATAGAGCTGCATGTGCGGGACTTGGGAAATGAATTTATGCTTATTCCCCGCGGAATCGGTCATAAATTCTACCATTTACCTTTTTATCCTCTTTTACTACTCTCCGTTTTACTGCCACTCATAAACTTTACATCATAAATGCTCGTGATTAAAAATCCGCAGTAGCGGTTTTTGCTCAGCACTTCACGCTGCTTGCAATCTCACGAGTTTTAAAATAACAAAAACAAAGCTTTGGGATAATCTGCTGGCCACATGCATGAAATTAGGCTGCAGCTGACAGCTTAACTTTACGTAGAATTCCCACATGCGCTGAAAGCCGTGCAGACTCGAATTAATTCGGTTATTTTGGCAAGCGAATAAATTCGCGAGAGAATATGGCCACTGAAGAATTCGTCGAGAGTTTGGGGAAACTCGGAGTGGGATTTCTTGCGAATCATAATCTTAGCGGCTCTAAGGAAGCTTTAAACAAAGTTTTTTGTGCTATCTGCAAAAAGAATGTCGTGACTGAAAACCCAAAAAAATTCACTTCACGCAACAAAGTATAAAGCTCTAGAAAAAATATAAGCAGAGAGCTAACCTGCCAGCTACCAGCACTTCAAGAAAATTGTTGAACAAATTTAGACTTTTGATTTTTTCAAAAAAAGTGAGTTTTAGATCGGCTAAAATCGTCATATTTGTAGTGTTGCAAATGAATTATAAATTTAAGGGATTTTCATGGCTAAGATGGCTTAGTTTTTCCTAAAAAAATCAATTGTATAAAATGGCTTCGAGTTTTACATAATAATGTAAACTATTAGGTTGGCACGAAAGTTCTTGCGTAATTCAAACAAAATTCAATGACTTTTCAAAGACTAGACCTAAATTCACAATCTTGTATGCTAAAAATATTAGAAGTCTTACGCTTTATGATGGATGTTCAAGCGTAAGATTCCGTGAGCTGGACAACAAGAACGAAGCTCTCAAATATGGGGCTTCAAATTTTGCGATTTTGAGTTTGGTGCCAGAAAATCGCAGAGTGCCGCTAGCTAGCCGAAAAAAATCTGTAGAATTTACTTACACAGCTAAAGTCCATACGTTGTTTTAGCAGGCTTTGATCTCGCATGGAAACGCGATAATAAAAAATTTGTGAAAATTCTCATTTCACAGGACAAATCCCCTTATCGCTCTAACTTTTCCACAGAAACACAGCTTGCAACCAGAAATTAGACATAGTGCCTATTTAGAGCCTTGTGACGTTTTCTCGATTGTAAAAAAGTGTTTTCGCTGGAAAACTGCGGACATGAGGGGATTTTTTTCCGCAACATGACTTATTTCACGAATTTTTTGTTTTTGCTTCACCGTGCAAGATCAAAGCCTTCCAAAGTAACTTATGGACTTTTGTTGTGTAAATTAAGTAAATTCTACAGATTTTTTTCGGCTAGCTAGCGGCACTCTGCGATTTTCTGGCACCAAACTCAAAATCGCAAAATTTGAAGCCCCATATTCGAGAGCTTTGTTCTTGATGTCCAGCTCACGGAATCTTATGCTTAAACATCCATCATGAAGCGTAAGACTTCTAATATTTTTAGCATACAAGATTGTGAATTTAGTAGTCTTTGAAAAGTTATTGAATTTTGTTTGAATTACGCAAGAACTTTCGTGCCAACCTAATATATACTCTTTATCAATAGAACACCGACAAGCTATCTGAACCTTTCATAGAACTTCCCACAATAGAAAACAATTTCCACTCGATTTGTTAACTTCCGCATTCAGCAGAATGATTATCTAAAAATTTCCGTGAACTTGCTATTCCCAAAAACGCTGGCAGCCAACTGAAACTCAAAGTTATGAAAACAAAAGCAAGCGGAAGTGAATTATTCTCTTTGAAAACATTGCATTCCTATAAATTACCTAATGTAGAAGCGATTATAGTTGCTATAGAGCCCACAATCTACAAATCACAAAATTTTTCTAACATCATGAAGAATGCTGAATTACCCTTTACTAGTAGTAAGACAGTGCCTATGTTTCGAGATCTTGCGATAGTTCTTAATCCTTGAAGTCAGCGATATCTACAAAAATATATATTCAAATTTTTAATTCTTGGATTCAGTTTGATATAATGAACATATAAAATCATTTATGACACACATCTATATACAGAAAATTGTCTTCTTACTTACACAATTTCCTGAAACTTACTTTTCAAAAAATTCATACACATACTTATTACTCCTAAACAAACTTACTTCTCAGTATCAAAATAAGTTTTACAATCTTCCTTCCCTACTGTGGAGTTCCGGGGAAGGTGTGTAAATAATTTTACTCCGTCTAAGGGCAGAAACGAAACGGAGCCTTTTGGTTATTTACACATTGTGAATTAAAAAAATTTTTCTTATTGTTATTGATTATAGGTTTGGTTTGCGAGTTAGAGGAAAAAAGTATTGTTTAGAAAAGTTGCAGCGAATTAGAATCACTTTCATAAACTAACTGAAAATCTACATTTCCTGCAATCTGAAGGAAATCCAATCTAGAGAATAGACTCTAAAAGGAACCTATAAAAGGATAAAAAGCGCGAGGCGATATTAGTCTCGTGATTTTCAAATAATAAAACGTTGTAATTGTTATTTCAGCCCTACGGGAGATGGCATTTCTGGTAATCAAGCGTTGTCAAGGTAGCAGGAACAAAACAAAATCGAAAGAGACGGGTTAGGGAAGGGGGGGGGGAATGTAGACAACAGCATTGTCCATTTGAAGAAAAAGCTAGTGAACAAAGCTGTGAAACGAATTCAACCAAAAATTTGTTGCCAGCGGAAAACACTATGATTCGAGCTGTAACTTGATCGTCTGGTCTGCCAGACTGGGACAATTTGTTGGGGTTTCTGACACACCCAGATGGGAACGAATCAAAGTGAAGTGCAATGGGAAAGGAGTATTGAGAGTGTGGCTCCGAAGAATGAAAAGCAATCTGGCTGAGTCCCCCCCCCCCTTCTAGCGGATTAGATGTGAACTATGCTCGCAAATAAGGTGTGATACAGCTGCCCGGTTTCTCCACTTCAATCTAGCTTTGGATGAACGAATAGGCCTTCACCTATGATCTTTAGCCCGAGTTTAACGCTTAGCAGATCTTGTCCAACATCAAAACATCATACATCGACATTTTGGAGCAAAGGAGCCAGAAATCTGGAAGGGAAATATGAG